ACACACACACACACACACACACACACAAAATAAGAGACAAGCATGGCTGTATATCAAAGCTGTTTTGATCCTTTGAAAAGATGCTCCACATTTCAATCTTTTTTTTTTTAATGCTTTTTAAAAATATAGCCCTTCTTTCTTGGTGGAAAGAAAAGGGAATCTGAGTGCCTCTTCTAAAAAGGAGGCCCTTTCGGAACCTCTGAATCTAAAAGCAAGCATATTCTTCTGAACAACGTTTCTTGTACAGACTATTTGGCCTGCATTATGAATGGCTGGACTAAAACTCCCAAAATTAATCCAATAGGCATGGGGAACCTTCGTTGGGAACTTCAACGGTTGCTGAAGGACAGTTCCCATCGCCCCTAACCAGCGGCCATGTCGCCTGTGGCTGCTAGGAGTTACAGTCAAGCAACTTCTGGACCATCTCTGGTGCTTTCACTTATGTAAATCTGCATCACGGTTTTTGATATTTCTGTGAATAGCCATCCGGTACAGTGCCTTGGCAACTTTAAGGCATGTGGACTTCAATTTCCAGAATTCCCCAGCCAGCTGGGCTGGCTGGGGAATTCTGGGAGTTGAAGTCCACACGTCTTAAAGTTACCAAGGTTGAGAAACACTGAGCTGGTATATAGATGGAGCACAGTTAATGCACCTGGTGGCCAGCAGGGGGCGCTTGGGTACCTTGAAAACGACCGGCTCAACCAGCAGAAAACTGCTGGAAACAAGCAAAATTTGGGATGCAAATTCAGGCAGGGAAAAAAAACCCTAATCTTATGCCCCCATCCATCCAGAAGGGTTAGATGCTGGTACGTCACCAAGACAGGCGGCACAGAGCTTAAAAAACGCTATAAAGTATAAATTGCAAAACAGCACCACCGCTTGGGGTTTTAAATTCCAGCTGTCTAAAACGGCTTGGGATCAGTTCCCCCCACCCTTCCTTCGTCTGAATCATTCCGCAGGTTGTGGATTAAGCGTTAGCCCCTCGGCGCATGGAGAGGGGGATGCTCCCTGGTGACCCCACCCTACCTTGTCATGGGCATTGGGGTCCCCTCCATCAGCCAGATACTTGTCGATTACAGGAATCTGGTTCTCCAGCGCAGCGTCAAGAAACTGCTCTGACTCCACCGATTCTATCTAAGAAGGAAAACACAGAAATCCTCCAAATGTGTTTATTGGGGTGCTCAAAAGGAGAGCGGCAGGGGTGCCCAAGCGGGAGGGGGGTCAAGAAAGTTAAGTGCAGGGCTTTGATCGTGCGTTTCAGGCTGCCATCTTGACTTTTTTGACTCCCTGTGGCCCCTGGAGGGAGGGGCTCACTCTGTCCATGCCATTTCCCACCCACTCCATTTGAAAGAATGGACTTTGAATGTACATATTCTCTTTTTCTAGAGTGCCCCTTCTTTCTTCTGCCAGTTTCCAGACTATAAGCCCCACAGAGCATCCTATTTGGGAGAGCCTCAGAACCAGGGGAGGTGGCATTCCCCGCCGGCCTGGGCCGAGCACAAAATAACAAGCCGGGTCAGATTTGGTTAGTCCTTGGATAAGACACCACCAAGAAATCCTGGGTCTGTAGGCTAGCTCGAGAAATCCAAATAGCACCCAGAAGAAGGGCAGGCCACCTCCACCTTGTTGCCAAGGAAACATCACGGACTCCAAGAGGTCTTCATATTTTATATAAAGAAGCAGAAAGAGAACGATAATTTTATCTTCTCGTTGCAAATTTTTATCAGCCATCCTTTTTCCATTTGTCCATTCCAGAAATAGAGGCTTCCCCTGGGACTGACTAACTTACAAAATAATGCTGATACGCGAAGGAACAAATGAGCCAAAAGCAGCAAAAAGCTAGCGAAGGAATATATACGTGTATATTAAATGCTACCCAAAGAATGTTTATGGGCAAAGAATAGGATTGAGCTGGAAAACATACGAAGAAAGGCTTCCAAACCAAGTAGATCAAATCATACATAATCTGGAAAGTATGTATAAAGAGATGTGGTTCTCCTCCTCTCCGTCTTAAAACTCGGAGGCCTTTGGAGAGATTAAAAAAAAAGCATTTAAACTGGAATTTGCTGCCATCAGATATGGGAAAAGCCTCCCCAGTTGAGCCAGTTTTAAAAGGGAATTGGAGAGCCTCCCGGAACGCAGGATCCCGGTGTTTTTTTTTCCTTTTCTTTTCTGATAATGGTTTGTTTCCTCTGGAATTGCAGCTAAAACTTAAAGAGGCCTGGCGTGGGTGGGCTTCTTCCAATGGAAGAGAAACTCTGTAGCTCAGGGTTGAACTTGGAGTCCTCTGAGCTTGGTGGTTGGCTTGCAGTTAACTGACTAGGTAACCTCGTCAGTGCTAGTAAGTGTGGGGTTTTCTCCCTGTTTATATACAGTGGCTTGCCCTGCCAGTATTGGTGGGGGTGTGGTTTTCTCCTTGGTAGTTCCTTGGTTAGGGCGTTGTTTTCGGCTTGATTGTTCGTCTGGTGTCAATCCCTGCTTATCTGAGTGTTGGCTGCTGAAGGGGATCTGTTCTCGTCTGTTTCATTAAATGTGTAAATATGGTTTATCTATAAGCTACTATATATAAACAGGGAGCAAACCCCACACACCGTTGCACTGATGAGGTTACCTAGTTGGGTAATGAAACATCTGCAAGCCAACCGCCAAGCTCAGAGAGCACCAGGGACTCCACAGAGGGTTTTTTTTTTTTTGGCGAAGATAGAGCCATAGTTTGGAATGGACTTTTTCCAGCTTAGTGTTTCGTTTTGTTTCAACTAGCCTGCAACCCCAGGATTTCCCAGAAGTTCCTTGTCCAAGTACTGGTTAGCTTTCTGAGATCAGCTGATGCCTGGGCCAAATTAGGGCTAACCTCTAAAAGGGCCTGTTGCTGCTAGTTGCCAAACTCCTTCGCCCAGAAGATGGGGAGGACTCATCTTATTTATTTATTTATTTATTTATTTATTTATTTAATGCATTGGTAAGGCCGCCAACCTCAAACAACGTGACACTGGGTGACATGCAACAAAAATCAACAATGACTAATAATAATAATAATAGTAATGACCACCTTACATTGTTTAAAAAAACACCCAATATACAGTATACAGTGGTAGGCGAAACAGGGTAATTGAGCGACTAAAATGGACTCTACTCAACAGGCCCAAAAGACCATGGAAAAAGCCAAGTCTTCTTACTGGCTTTTCTAAAGGCAAGCAGAGTGGGGGCCGGTTGTGTATTGGGGAGATTGCTCCAGGAAACAGGGACAGCCACCCCAGAAGTCTGCCAATTCTGCGACAAAGAAAGCCATTTTTAGCCCGTGCGAATGTCTGATTGGGGTGCTAGAGCTCTCTGGGCACTGTCCTACAAGGCCAGAACTTATTTCATCTCTGGAACAGGCCCTTGGATCTTTCAGGGCAGCCCGACTCCTTCTCAAACATGCTGAACATGCCCTCCAGAGGTATTGCACATCTGAGAAAACGTCCAGAATACTCACAATAATTTCTGGCTCCTGCTGTTTGGGGAGGGCCACTTTCTTACGTTTCTTCTTCTGTTTGTGAAGCTTGACAAAGGCCTCTAAGTCCTGCAGGCTATCAAGCTTCAACCTGGAATTGTTGAGGGCCTCAAGCTGGAAAAGATGATGGTGGCATCAACGTGAGGAATAATGAGCTCACTGTACAGTTGTAAGTTAGAACACCAGATTTGAGCTGCAAATATGCAGAGGACCCATAGAGGGCAGGAACAAACATTATGGACCTCTGTGCTGCCCTCTAGAGGTCACACAGAGTATGGCAGCCTTTTATAAGGGCTTCCAGGGCCCAAGTGAGCCCCAACTCAAAGAATCATAGGGTTGGAAGGGATCTTGGAGATCTTCTAGTCCAACCCCTTGCCCAAGGCAGGAGTCCTCATACCATCTTGGACAAATGGTTGTCCAATCTTTCTTGAGCACCCACAACTCCAGGAGGCAAGCTGTTCCACTACTTAATAGTTCTCACTGTCAACTGGGATAACCCAAAGCATGCTTACTGCAAAGATTGCACACCCCACTCCAGGAATTTCATGAAGTTCACGTGGGGATACCCCTTCATCTAATCCTCCAAGAACAACCCTGTTGAGCCAGGAGACAGGGCCTGGCCCAAAGTCAACCAAGTGAGATCCCTGATTAAGTGGTGACTTGAACCGGGGCCTCTTCAGACCCAGGAGGTTAACTGAGCTGCAGACATCAGGGTCACCGCTAAATGTCAGCAAAGCAGTATTTGCTGCAGCAAGAAGGTGGATGGACTCAATTAGAGTGGTGGTTGGTGGATCCATCCACCACTGGATGATCTGAAGGACCAGGTTGGGGACAGATCCTCCTAGAGAAAATCCATCATCTATGTGGATTCTAAGAATCGACACCAACTTGTTGGCACTTCATTATCGGTGGTAATCTGGATTTTCACAGCCCCAAATGGCACTCCATCCTTCCCAACCTCGGTACTGTTCAGATGTACAGATTCCTAGCTTTCTCTAACCGGTATGGCCATTGCTGACAGTTCTGGGAACTGAGGTCTGCTTTAAAATGCCTCCTTGAAGCTTCCTAGCACAAATGTGTTTGTGCAAAAAAAGGCACCCTAAATAAGTTCACATCTTTGCTTTGCCAGGTTTAACGCCACTGTTAACTATAAGCATAAAAAAAGGAAGCCAGATCAGTCCGGTGAGGAATCTAGTCCTGTCCTTTTTTGTAGAGCTGACCTTGGAATGGAGGAACCCTTAAGGAGGTGAAACAGCAACTCTGTCCTGGGAAAGTGGGAAGCGTGAGAAAAGTGCTCAAAATACCTCCGCCTTGGTTCTCTTTGGTATCAGAGGAGGCAGAGAGAAACTCCAAGAGATTTTCAAGATTGATGTCAGCCCTTCAAGGTAGGCCAGGCCAGGAAAAAAGTCACCACACAGAGTCCAGAAGTGCTACTTTGTGGTTATCGGACGTGTTAACAAACCTCAAAAGTCAGCCAAAGTTTGTCTCTGTTCCCTCTGATGCCAAACAGAACTAAAGCAGGGCTATTTTGGTGTCTTTCCCACGCTTTCCACTTCCCCAGGACTGAGTTCTTGTTTCACCTCCATCCCAAGGTCATCTCTACATTCTTTTACAGAAACTTACAACCAACTCAGTGGACGGCTCACCTTCTTCTTCTTCTCATCTTCTGCTTTCTGCTTCTCTCTTTCCACTGATTCCCACCAGGCGCCAGCTGGACCTGAGCGCCAACGTTCAGGCTCCCAGGCTGCGCCTCTCGCCCGCGCTGCAAAGCAGCCGACTTTCCCTTCGGGCTGTTCATCACTTACCTATGGAAGGAGACCAGGGACGAAATCAATCACAAGAAGGGTGCTGTGGGTTGTGCAAGATTTACCCCCCAAGCAGGCTGCTGAGAGACAAGGAGGCATTGATATAACTGAAGGAATCCAGAAGTTTGCAGAAATAAAAACAAAGTATTTAAATCAGGGTTTCTCAACCTTGACAGCTTTCAGATGTGTGGACTCCAACTCCCAGAATTCTGGGAGCTCTGCTGGCTGGGGAATTCTGGGAGTTGAAGTCCACACATCTGAAAGCTGTCAAGGTTGAGAAACCCTGATTTACAGCATTAATAAAGGAGGTGATTTGTTTCCCCAAACAGCTTACAGGAGAGCAGAGCAAGGAAATACCAACAGAAAGCAGCAGTTGGAAAGTTGGGGTGGGGGGAGAGGGTTTTGGCATGCACTTCTTGGAGGAAGGGGCAGGTTACAACTTTTAACAGACACACTCCTGTTGCGCTGTAACAGTTTGTGGGAGCAGCTCTAATTTTTGGTTATCTAATTAACATATCACCCACAGCAGGAGGTCATTCGTATTGTGATCATGTTTTGGCAATACAATTGGTTCAGCTCTGAACGAACGAGCGCTTCTTGTTCAGAACTGTTGTTCTATTAGCAGTTCTTTTGATAGTGCTTCCCTGGCCAATTGTTGCAGTTACTTCTCTGCGACGCCCCTGAAGAAAGGAAAATAAATGCGGAAATGGAAATTCCAGAAATGGAATCCGTATGCCGATGTTCGCTCCAGTTTTAAAAGGCAACTAGGAAGGCCGTTCTTCAAATCGAGGAAGGAAGGAAGGAAGGGAGGAAGGAAGGAAGAGATAAACAGAAAGACAGGAGGGAGGAGGAAGGAAGGAAGGAAGGGAGGAAGGAAGGAAGAGATAAACAGAAAGACAGGAGGGAGGAGGAAGGAAGGAAGGAAGGGAGGAAGGAAGGAAGAGATAAACAGAAAGACAGGAGGGAGGAGGAAGGAAGGAAGGAAGGGAGGAAGGAAGGAAGAGATAAACAGAAAGACAGGAGGGAGGAGGAAGGAAGGAAGGAAGGGAGGAAGGAAGGAAGAGATAAACAGAAAGACAGGAGGGAGGAGGAAGGAAGGAAGGAAGGGAGGAAGGAAGGAAGAGATAAACAGAAAGACAGGAGGGAGGAGGAAGGAAGGAAGGAAGGGAGGAAGGAAGGAAGAGATAAACAGAAAGACAGGAGGGAGGAGGAAGGAAGGAAGGAAGGGAGGAAGGAAGGAAGAGATAAACAGAAAGACAGGAGGGAGGAGGAAGGAAGGAAGGAAAAGATAGACAGACAGGAGGGAGGGAGGGAGGGACAGCAGTAACTTCTAGAACAGTGTTTCTCAACCTCAGCAACTGTAGACTTCAACTCCCAGAATTCCCCAGCCAGCCCATGGTGGCTGAGGAATTCTAGGAATTGACATCCAGACATCTTAAAAGTTGCTGAGATTGAGAAACCCTGCTCTACCTTCCTCAAGCTGATGCCTTTCTGGTACGTTGGACTTCAAGTCCCATAACCTCCGCTCCTCATAGCTGTGTGGCTGGGGATTATGGGAGTTGAAATCTAATACATCTGGAGAGCCCAAGCTTCTGGAAAGCTGGATATCAGAACAGAACTGGATATTGTTACTGCACAGAAAACTCCTGGAAAGAGTGCTACCCTTCACAGACTGTCAGGGCTAGAAGTAAAATGGGTGCCATCACCAAGAAGGCCCCAGGACCAGCAGCTATCATAAAATGGGGGCGAACAGTCAAGGAGCCGAGCTTCCGAGACAGCACTGTTGGTGCACTCGAGGTGCAAAGGACGGAGAAAAAAATCCAGACTCTACTCCAGGGCATTGCTCCTGCCTTCTGCTGCATTGTTTTTACAAGGGCAAGTAGCCTCAAATGTGGGTGGGGGGAGGAAGCAATCCTCCCTGGCTCACAGAAATGTGGAAAACCAAATTCCATGAGAAAATTGTGGGTGTTCTTGGCACTGTTGGCAGAAATATTCCGGGAAGGACATTTGGCCGGCTGGCACCATTGAACAGAAGCATCAAGGTCTTGGGGCAGTCACTCTAACTGAAGCACGCGGTGCTATGAATCTGAGTTCAAAAAAAACATGGTCCTGGGGGGCTGTTTTAAAAACTCAACTAATAATTCTAGGAGCAGGGAGACCCAACTGTCTCTTTTCCTAGATGTGCCAGTGCTTCACATGGAGGGATAAGACTCAAGGAAGCGTTATCGTTTTAGCTTACTGTTTTTATTTTGTTTTCAATTATTAGCCACCCAGACTCATGCAATTGAGATGGGCAACCATACAAATTTAATTCATTATTTAATTCCAACACACCTCCTTCCCCATTGGCGTTCAGAAGGGCTATGGTGCAAGGAAGGCTGTGAACACCTGGAGTCACTATGGCTGCATCCAGACAACACTCTTAACCGATTACTGAATTCATTCATTCTCTGGGCTTGCACAGTACATGGCGACTCAACTTAACCAAAGTTCATACTAATCAAATTCAGTAAGTACAGTTGCTAGGTCTTTATCTGACCTGGTTTGTTGCATTAAGTGAAAAAAAAGGCATATCGAGTGGTACTTAATCAGAAATACGAGTAAAACGTTTCTTGTAACGTAGTGATTTAGCAGACTAACAGGTGTCTGTTGTTCCCAGTTGTCCGTTAAATCCCAAATAATGTCATTTGCATCAATCCAGATCACGTGTAGATGCAAATGACATAATTTGCATGATTGGCGAAATGATGCCATTACTCAGAATATGCAGATCACCACAGATGACATAAAATTAAGGTAAAAATTAACTGCCTGATCCAGACACGTTTGGATGCAATGGCCTAATCTATTATTTCAGGGGGATATTTGAACAGAAATTTTATCCATTAAATGAGGGAGGAGTGTTATCAGGATCTACTGCTGTCGCTTGTTTAGGTGATTCAAACAGAAATCACATAAATTTGTGGCAGAGACAAATCTGTGCATAAATAGTAGCCCCAGAGCTTAACAGAACCTCCAGATTCAGAGGAACTCTACCTGCCAACACTGGCACAGAATGACAGAAATAGGAAAGAGATTGTGTTAAGCCTTCCACTTACGGCTTTTCTTTCACTGGCTGCATTTAGATGAACTTCAAAAACAACTCCATCACATTTTTTATTATTTTGATTCTGGCTGCTAGTATATTTTTAAAGTGACAGCAGCTTATGAATTATTTCTGGTTGATTGCTTTGTCATGTTATTTTAATTGTGTTTTAAATGGAACCCCAGCCTTGTCATCTGCTGGATGTGTGTCTTGTTATGGAACAGCAGGATATAAATTATGGAAGTAAACAAGCACAGAGGCATCTGGCTATCGTGCAGGAGAAACGGGACGCCTCTGATCCAGCAGCTTCCACACATGTTGGGCTCCAACGCCTATCACCTTGGGGAATCATCTGTCAGGCTGGGGATGACGGTCATTGGAATCTATTCCCTCTGGAAGGCACAAGGTTGGGGATGGACCATCATCTGGATGGAAGAGCTGGGGTGGGATTCAGTTCTAAGCACCATGAAAAAGTCCTTCTTACCAGTTGGAACAAGCAACAGATGGGAAACTCACAAGGAGAAACTTGGGTAGGTTTGCTTTGGAGAAACAAGGAGTGAGGGTGGATACGCTTGCCCTTTCCAAAAACCTGAAAAGATGTCCCACAGAAGGGGATCAAGTCCTGTTCTCTGTCATCCCAGAGAACAAGATATGGAATAATGGTTCTAATCATGGGGATGTGAGGACGAAGAGCAGTTGGACAGTGGCCCTGGAGTAGTGATGGAGATGTTCAAGCAGAGGCTAGACAGCCATCTCTTGGGCAGGGTTGAATTGGGATGGGGAGAGGATTGCCCTCAAGGGTCTCAGACTGGAAGAGGTGAGAGGACTAGAGAATAAGTCTTATGAAGAGAGCTGGACAAGCTTGCCCTGAAGAAGATGGAAGGGAATATGGTGGCATCTTCAAATACGTAAAAGGTTGTCACAGAGAAGGTGGTCAAGCCCTCTTCTTTCTGCTTCCAAAGATCAAGACCCCAGAATCATGCATTTAAGTTACAGCAGGGGAGAGAGATTCCAACCAAGCGCTTGCAAAACCTCCTAAAGCTAAAAGTAGAGGGACAGTGGCCAGAAAGATGGTTTCTTCCTTCACTGGAGGTGATCAAGCAGAAGCTGGACAGCCATCTCGTGGGGAGAATTTGATTTGGATTCCTGCACCGAATGGGGCTGGCCTCCCAACCCTAAGATGGGAGGACCCCGTGAAAAACAAATTCTCCACTGGGGCCCTGAGGCTGGCTTTCAGGAGAGATGGTGACATGCCGCAGCCTGCTTTCCCTGAGCCCGTCTTCTCATTTCCTTCACCCACCTGCCGCTGGTGCCCTCCTTGGCCAAGGCGTTTGGTTTCTGCAAAGTGCTGACCCATCCAAGCTGCCACCCTCCCTCACCAAGAGAATAGTGCCAGGTCGAGCTCTGACATTCCCCCCATGCCACGGCTGCTCCTGCCCCAGATGAAGCAGCTTCTATTTATATGTAGGTCCCTGGGTGTGACTCTTTGCAAAAACATGAAGTGGTGTCAATGCCCGGCCACATTTCCCAGCGGGGTAGCCGAAGGGCAGCCAGCGACAGTCAGGCGCCAGAGGCAGAGCAGGTCCCAAATCCCCTCTTTTGCCTGGGGAAGGATCCCCGGGCCATCCTCTCCTCTAGCTCTGCGGAAAAGGAACTGCCGGTTCAAAGGGACCTCATCTAGTCCAACCTCAGCCCAGGGCAGGATCCAGCAGAGCATCAGGGAGTTCATCTAAAGGGGTTTCCTGATGAAGGCTAGGAAGGGCCCTACAGGGAAACAAAGGGGAGCAAGTACCCCTCAAAGAATCTGCCCTCCCTCTCTCTCCAATGGGCAGGGGAGAATCCAGGCTGCATTCACACAACCTGCAAACCTAGTCAAATTAATAGCCAGCAGCTGTATTTGCACACCATACTCAGTTTGGGGAAAGGTAGTTAGCATTCTATGCTTTAGCCCAAAGTTTCCCAACCTTGGCAACTTGAAGATGTGTGGACTTCAGCTTCCAGAATTCCCCAGCCAGCCTGTTGTACAAACCAGCTAGTTTGGTTAGTCTATGATCCACTGTATCCAGAAAAAAGATTTATTTAGTAACTGAGTGAAGTGTGCAAAACCAGCCCATCTGCTTAGTTTATGTCTGGTGAACCAAAGAACCTAAGACAGCCATCCTGTCTTCAATCACTTTCTGTCTCATTAAAAATCACAGCTGGGGGACCATTTTTCGGAACCACCTGGGGACCCAGGAGCTCAAGTTGAGCACCTCTCCCTGGAAAGGTCTTCCAATATGGGCCACCTGAAGCAGCCCATTACTCAGGGCACAGGAGTGCTGAACCTCACATTGCTACAGGAACACGATCCCATCTTGGCATTCCTACCTTCTCGGGCCAAGCAGGGAAGGAATGTCCCCACTGCTCTCCTGGGGAATTTCAGACACCACAAGATGGTCAACCTGCTTGTTTGCTTCCTTCCTTCTTAGGCTAACAAATTCCTGGAGGTCTTGAATGGCCTCCATGAGATGGCAAGGAGGTTTTTGGCCTGATGCAGCCACCAAAATAAAATACCTGCTGTCTCAAGGCCAGGGATGGAGTTATTGATGTTTCTGGAAGAACCTCTCCCCTCCATTGACACACATGGAGCATTCAGAGGGCTTTCTGGGGAGTTGTGAAGGCCACCCAACTGGAGAAACAACGGTATGCTCTAGTTGACACAGGACTTCTTTTCTTAATCAACTTAACCTTCCACCTCCTTGACACACAGAAAAGTTCTCCCCCCAAGGAAACATCATTAGGTAACAAAATCACAGCCATGCTACTTATCATTCCAGAGAGGTGGAGATGAGGCCTTGTCGGCCAAACAGCCCATCAGGCCAGATTAGGCTTAAGGACTGAAGGCTTCTAACCCCTGAGATAGTGTCTATTGGGAATCAGGAGTCTTGTATGATGGGGGCTCAGAAATGGGGAAATTGGTGGATCAACTTAAATTGGAACAACCTTTTCTGCTTTCTTGGCCCAGGGAATATTGAGGAAGGGGTGGGGTGGGGGGCCAAGGGGCAGGTCTTTATTGATGCTATGCCACCGCAAACAGCTTACCTCCTGCAGGAGTCTTTTCTGATCCCTAATTGCACCAGGAGCTTTTATTCTCTCTTTCTAAGGCAGAGATTTCCCCCCCAATCTGGAGCTCTTTTCCTGGCGGAGTTGGTAAGGCATCAGGACTTTTTAAAAAGGGGGACGGGGAAATGCCACAGCCTCATCACGTAGAAGGAGGCCCACCCAAAATACAATTCCGTATATTGTTCAGGGCAGGAAAACAAGTCAGTTCAAGGCTAAGAATTTCAGAGTCTCCTCCATGTTCCTGACTGTTAAGCTACCAATGTCAATGGACCAAAAAATAATGGAGAAAAAACTGCATTGATACCTGAGAAAAAAGTCAGGAAGGGAATATTCCAACAAATCCTCAGCCACAGTTGCTCAGTCTCAAAAAGGTGTGCGTGGGCCAACTCGTAAACTGGTGATTCTCAACCTTAGTAACTTCAAGATGTGTGGATTTCAACTCCTAGAATTAGCTGAAGTTCACACAACTTGAAGTAGTTAAGGCTGAACAACACTGTCCTAAACCATGGTTGTCACATCCACAGAATATCCTGCGCCCACACAAATCAACTGTATTCTGGCTTAACATAATGATCTGGTTCACACAACATGTGAAGACCATGATGGATTTCTCCTAACATGCTGAACCAGAAACAAACTCCCCCTATTTCAGTCTAATGACCATCTTCGAAGAGGCTGGCCATCTAGGGAACAAAGCAGAACTGGAAATTGTCCAAAAGCAGGAAGATATGGTTGCGTGTTTGGTTTTAAAAACAACATCCCACATCGTGGAGGCAGATAAACATGTCAGCTCCTGGGAACGAAAAATTGGCTGGTTCATTTTCTGCAGCTCAAAGTTCTCCGTTTGCCTCCAGCCATCACAAATGCCCATCTGTGAAGTCACAAACCTTCTTTAACATTATTTATTCAACTTATATCCCGTGTTTCTTCCCAGAGAACATTCAACCCTGGGGTTCAGGGAGAAAATATGCATTGGAAATGGAGGGCGGGTTCACATAACGTGAAATCCCAAAGCCAGGATAACAAGAAAATTGCTCTTCACAGAGCGTGTCACATCCAAACTGGTAAACTGTATTCTGGCTGTTCCACACAACAGTCTGAGTCAATGGACAATGGTTCTCACAAACACAGGACCATAAGCTACCACTGTATATGAGCCTAGTTTACAGTTGTACAAACTCATTTATACATTTGGGGGGGGGGGGGGGTTTCGGACAACCAAACAGCCCCACAAGCAACTAGACCAGTATGATAGCCAAGTCTAACCATTACAAACTTGATCTTAGCCAAAATGTTGAGAAGCCGCGTATAACCAAAGATCCAATGATGAATATATGGTTATATTTTACTTGGCATTTAGTATACATCATGGTATTCATCACTTGCTACTGGCCAAAATATTATTCATTGCCAGCTGAAAAATGGACCCATCACCTTGTAAGTTAAAATGCCACACATTTTATGCAGATCCAGACCTTAGCTCCATGCAGGAGAGCTGCATGTTGTACGATTAAACAGAAACATTTAAAAAGATCTCTGAATTTCAATCCGTTAAGTTTTTAGAAGTATGCTTCGCCATCCTGAATGTTGATGAATTACATGGTTTTGTCTATTTGTGATTTATTCTTAATTTTCCCTTGAGGAGCAGCCTTTCAAGTTTGGGTGAGAAATTTTGCTCCCTGCCGGTCCCAAGGCACAGATTTGCTCCGGCTACCGAAATGACCCAGTTTCTGGCTCATTCTGAATGCACATTGCCTCTGCCTTGCTGTGGAAGAATTTAACTCTACACATGGAGCGCACGCTTCAGCTAAATTGATGCAGAGAGAAACAAACACAAAACCCTGGGCACGTGAGAGGGAATCTTATTTAAAACAAAAAAATGCTTTCATAAACTTGAGTAGAGTCTGCCTGCATTCACACAACACATTTAGCCAGCTTTCTCATTAACCCATTTTCTGGGTTCATACAATACCTTGAACCAAGCCAGGCTGGTTTCCAAATCCCTTTGCACGTCGTGCAAAAGCAGACATCAGAACTTTTACTGACCTGGGGGATGTGCGGACCCTCCCACAGCTCCGTCCCCCTCCAGCCTCTGCACTCCCCCTGCATCACAGCCCTGGAAGTTGACCCCTCCTTCCACCCCCAAAGCAAATCCAAACAGCCCGTCTTGGACTGTATTATCTGCAGTTCCACCCCCCCCCCAATTCTCCCCGCTCTTACCAACTGCTGAATGCTGAGGATCTCCATGGTCCCCCCACTTCCAGAGCCCGAACGCTCTCTCCCCGGCAGCCTGGCTGGGCATCTGCATTTATTCGATCCTGGAGAGGGTGGATTTAGGCTGCCATCCAAAGCTCTCCTCCGGCACCCGCTTGGGCCCAGCGACTGCATTGTTGGAGGGCCATGTAACACCCGCTAAAATAACTTCATCAGATACCTCTAGTGAACTGCCCATATCCAGAGGGATGGCGGGGGCAGTAATGGACAGACCATTATTTTAATGTTTCAGTGGTTGGGTTTTCAAAGCTTTTGGATGGCACTTTTCCTATCAGCCCAGGAGAATTGGCTGCAGCCCTTCAGGAAAAGCCGTTGGTAGAAAACTTTCCCTGCAATGTTGCACAGCTATGGCAGAGGATGGGCGAACTGGGGTCTAGTGCGTGTTCTGGACTACGGCTCCCGCGGTCCCTTGTTATTGGCCATGATCGGAGTCCAAAGCATCAGGAAGACCCAGGATTTTCAGATTCCTGCAGACCTGCATGAATTCAGCTTTCTAAAGCTAGTTAGTAGTCATACTTTCAGCCGCTAAGAGCTGACGTTTTTCATACTAGACTGCTTCCACAGCAACCTGTATTTTTATGGCTGAGTAATGGAGAATGTAGGAGCATCAAATGCAGAATAATGCACCAATGGGTGAGTCACCCACCTCAGAAAAATAATGTTTTGCGTCACCTGGGAGTTTTCATTCCAAAGGCAAGAACGAGAATCAAGTCCCGACCTTGCGATTTTCGAGAAAAACTTGAAACGAGGCAAGCAACTTCCACAAAAGACCTGGTAGCGTTTTTAAAATGACAAATAATTTCCATGCTGCTGAGTGGACAGAGGATGACCAAGAACCCCGATTCTCAGACTGCCCAGCACGGCCAGAAATGGGAACTGGGAAAGGTGGTTGGAAGCATTAGATTGTCATTTTCATATGGAATACGATCTCAGGGCTCCCATCTTGGGGAGGAATTTTAACAGCGTTGATCACAATTCCCTCTAGGCCAGGTGTTTTTTTATCATCAGACCCCCCATTCAACTAGGTGTGGTTATGAATTCAAACCAGCTACTCATCACACCGTGCCCCTCGGCCGGGCGGC